ACTTGTTAAGATCCGCCCGCTTAAAAAGAAATGGTTTTTTTTTGTTTGAAAGAGCATGTCAAAGCTTTGGTACTTTTATAATTAGAGCGTCATTTTTTTCTGACATTGAACTTTTCTTCACTAAAGTATAAGTGAATTTCCAAATGAACTTATTTGTTGAATATTTCCTCAAAAACGTCGTGGTATAGGACTGAAACTTTCATGCGATTTGAATGCACCTAACCCAAGACACCGATTTATGAGGGGTGGAGCGGTCATAAGCAACAAGCATTATCTAGTGGACTTTAAGGTTCCATCAAAAACTTAAGTAGCTATTCATAAAGAAAATTTAGGGAAAGGAAGGAGTCAAAGAAGGCCAGAGCTTACAGACATCTGTACGTTCTTGTTGGTGACACCAAAGAATGTCATGTGTTGGAGTAGAGTATTGCTTGCCGACAATTTTGATAGCCTGATGGTAATGGTACAATTGAAAGCTACTGTCATTTTGGATAGAAGGTCAGTGTATTTCTAAAGTTTTGTAATACAATTGCAAGAGTTACGATATAAGATTGAGAGAACATTCTTACTGCCCTGTATGTTCAGAGTAAAATAGCACCGACGTCAGGAGTTTTGATCAAGAGGAAGGTCAACCCTTCTGTAGCACCGCTACTAGATTAGAATATGGTTTGATTAAATAGTTACATCACGAAAATTCAAATACACTACAAGTTTAAATGATTATTCAAATAATAAAAATGTATTGCGCAAGTAAACATAGTACTTGAGTATGACATTTGCTTATTACCCTCTTCCTATTTAAGGCAACACTGACGAAACATTTATGTTAAACAAATTATAGATGTAGGAAAATCAGCAATGTCCAAGAACTGAGAGAATTAACTGTCATTCAATCAATTAAAATTATTTAATAGTCTTTTATGTATGAGGTAAACATTAGATAGTCCAAAAATAATGTTCCTATATTCATACCTGGATCATCAAATTGTATTTTTCGAAGAATAATTCGAGGTGTTTCAAACATTTCGTCTTGGACAGCCGAAGCTGAATTAAAATAGGATGAATAAGTTTAATCTATATATGATTCTATCTATTTCTACATACTTGAACTATTCGTATCTTCATTTGTATTTTTACTGGTTACTAATAGTGAATGCTTACCGATGGGTTCACGTGAATGTGATTGATCCAACTATAAAAACAAAAAAAAACAAAATTTTTATTCATATTAATAACCAGTGGAATATAACATTCAAGGATTCATTTAATTTTCGCTTGTTCAAATGAAAATAGTGAAAAAAAAAACATGAATTTCACATTTTATTCATCGAATCAACATGTGAGAAGTGCAGGTCACTAATATGTATGATTCAATACAAGATCGAGTTTAAAAAATATCTTTCAAAAAGAATCTTGAGAATCAATAACGTAATCAGAAGAAGCTTCAGATGCCTCTAGATAGGACTTACGAGGTAGTAAGAACCATCCAGATGTTTAAGGTTTTTTGGATTTTAAACTTATTCAAAATAATGTCAAGTTTTCTATTTAGTATTGCCACAAAAATCTCCATGAAATTCTTCGCTATGTTTTGTCTAACGAGGAAACTGCTTCTTTCTTTAGATATTGAAGTTACCAACAAAGTTTATTTTCAATGCATAGGGAAGTTCCTTCAAGATCTCAATACTTGGAGAAAGAACCGATCGTCTTAGTTGAGACATTTTACTTACTATAAGAGTCATAAGACCTAAATTTGGGAAGAAAAATCCATGCATCTTTATCCTTTTTTTCTAATTCTACCGGATCTTATGATCAAAACATCAACATCATAGGTCTGAATCATTTGTAACGATCCCCTCGTACGTATAATCTATTTGAATAATAATCAAATAATTTTGTGAAGTTTAATATAGAAACATCAATTGTATTTTTATTCTAACCTTTTTTTGACTTGATGATTTTTGTGGTGAATTCGATGCTGATGATGATCGTGTTTGACCATGAGATAAAGCTGAAGATGATTCATCATTTTCTGTTGGTGATGGTGGAAAACCCCAAGTATCAGCTAGAAATTGAAGCAAAAAAAAAACCAAACAAATTATTTTTTTTTTTTCATTGAAATAATAACTACCTAATGGACTAAGTTGTTCTTGTTCTTCAACATCATGATTACCATTCGGTGAATTTTTATAATGATTGTGATTATTAGCTGATGGTCTAAATCGAATTAACTGTTTGATTACAAAAAAAAAAAAAGAACCTGACGAAAATTCATTAAACTAATTAGATATCTTTCTCTTTATATATCAAAATTCTTCTTTAGTATATCCTTTCAATTTGTGTATGACTGTTGAAAAAGAATAAAAATTATATTTACATTGATGCATTTGTATTTGCAACAATTGAAAGTTTATTTGCAAGTTTTTGTGCTAATGGACCATCACGACGATTAAGTGACATAGATGTATATTCATTTGTATTATTATTATTATCATCACCCATACTTGTATTAATTAATGATGATACAGGCGTTTTATGTGCTACGATATTTAGTTAAAATATGTATATATAGATATTTCGTTTTTTTTTTTTTTTTCTTTATCTAGAAATACAAACCATCATTTAATGATGTTGATGAGAGTAAATTAACTTTTGATGTATCCATGAGTATTTCCTGCCTGTTTGATTAGATGATATTACAAGAACAAAGAAAATAAGATTGAACTAAGATAGATGGTTGAACTCAAACGGACACATAAGACGAAAAGAACGAATCGTTATTTGTTTTTATTCTTTCTTTCTCTTTTTTTTATTGTGATCATGTGAAACAAAATGACCAATAGAACACACTGAACATTTGAGAATTGAAAAAAAAATTGAACTGCCCTCTTGCGACATCATTTTATTTCGGCTTACGATTTTCGATGGATAAATGAAATTACTTTCAAAAAGAATTCATATGTAATTTTACTAAAACTTGAAATGAAATGTCGAAATTTTGGACGTTCATATTTAAAAATATTTAAATTTTTTTCGAAGGAATAATAAAAGTAAAAATCATATATTGTGATGTGTGAAATATACCTGGAAAAGTTTTAATGCAATGTATTTGGTAATGAGTAATCAGAAACTTTTTAGACACAAGATATTTGTTCTCTTTTTGAATATGGAGCTTAGAAATTCTGTTCGAGAGTAGTGAAATAATCTTTGAAAAGCTCACAAAATTAGTTTGGACAGAAATTTTTTGTATTTTCACTATTATGATTCGAAATCAAAAGTTGGAATTTTTATCTATATGTTAGCATATAGATCAGAAACTATCTTAGAAAATGCATTATTTTTTGTCTTGTGACAAAGGAACTTCAATTTCTATTTTTCGTAAATACTCATTTTTGAAAACTCGACAACCATTTTACGTTGAAAGGAGCTCTTGAAAAATACTTGTAGTCTCATTTCTGTAAAAGCTACATCTCACATTTTATAGATAAGTATCTGCTCTACAAAACGGTCAACTCCGACAATTTTTCGCATTGATTTTCAAAAAAGTGTATCCGAAAGAGCTCAAATGATAGCGATTATTAGCTTGTTTTCTTTTTCTTGATACTAGGAAAATGCCTGACTTGGCCCCAAGGTTTCCAATTATTTTTGAGGATGAGAGGGACTTGAAGTTGGGTAAAAAGTGTTATCATACGTCTGGGAGGAATTGAATAGAAGATGCTGAAATTATCGACTTTCTGTGATAGATATGAAAAATGTCAAAAGGATAAGTCCTCCTAGGCCTTCTGTACAGAGTTATAGGCATCTTACTAGAATTTTAGCCTATGTTATGGCATATATCAACAAATTGAATGATGGTATTTCGACCTGAGATTTTGCCTACATACCGATTTATTTGTCAGTAGAATACCAGAAAATTCGAGCGTCTTTCGTGCAATATAAGTGATTTTTGGGACTTTAATATTTCGAGAATTAAACATTCTTTTATGCTAAAATTTTCAGAGCATTCTACTGACAAATAGGTCTACCTGTGAACAAAATCTCAAGTTGAAATACAATCATTCGATTTGTCGATATATACCATGACATAGGCTTGAAGTTCTAGTAAAATGTCTATAACTCTGTACAGAAGGCCTAAGGATTCTTATTCTTTTGACGTTTTTTATGTCTTACTGGAATCTATCTTATATACAGAATCGAAATTCAAAAGTAATTGATCACTTGAAAATGTTCGCTAATAAGAGAAAAGGCATTTTCGTATGAGTACTTGTCAAAAAACAGAGTTAAAACCGCTAAAATTTTCTTTCTATCACGATTTCCCATGAGACTATAAAAAAAAATGTTTCAGAAAACTGTCGTAACTTCTGAAGTAACACTTATACTTTCAAACAAGTGAGAATAATCTAGTTTATTATAATTTTCTTATAAATTTATCGATATAATGTGTAGATTTTTCTGTTGATTGAATCTATTGAGCTCGAAAATAAAAAAAAAGGACAAGAAGAAAAAAGTACAAGATTATATTGAAAATTTCATATTCAATTAATAAAATTTAAAAAAAAATGATACATTTATTTATTTATTTTTTGTCATAATTATTTGTTTTTAATGATATTTAACTAACTAAGTGGTCCAACATCACTTTTCGTAGTGACAAGATATGTTCGACGAGGTAAACGATAAACAACGACATTTGAACATCGTTCGACTTGTTTTACTACTGTGCCGCCGGTAGTCCGAAGTCCAGTGTAACTTTGTGAAGAGGAGGTAATCTATAAAATATTCAAAAGTAAAATAAAAAAAAAAAAGAAGAAGTTATGAATTCATTTTTCTTCTATTAATTAATAATATTAGTGTTTCAAACAATTCTTTCTATTCATACCTTCATATCTGTTTTAATGTAAGGTGAACTCCTATCACTGGTGGTTTTTTTTTGTATATATTTAAAAATTAAATAGAATAAGAATTTTGTTTCAATTGAAATTTAAAAGAAAGAAAAAAAGAAAAACCTAATTCAAATACCTTTTCTTTGGTCGTTCATTCATAAAAAATAATTTTGATTGATTTTCTGTCGAAATTTTCTTATGATTACCATAGAGTTTTTCAACTGTATTCATACTATTTAAAAATCCAATTGATGAATGTGTTAATGCTGGTAATGTTAGATTTGGATGATGTTTTGTACGACGACTTGCTCGAAAATAATTCGAATTTCTCATTGGCATAGATGGAAGTACACTTAATTGATTTATAACAGATGATATTAATGGTAATCGATTTGTATTATCAATAATATCATCATTTGATTTCATAATTGTTCGTGTCATTGTTGATAGATTAGTTGTTGATAAAATAGTTTCTTCTAGAATTGTATTATTTTCAGTATCACTACTATATGTACCAACCATAGATAATTGATCATCATCTGAATCTTGTGATTCTGTTGATGATGATGATGATAATGATAAAGATCTATGTTGTAATTTTCGATTTAGATTTAATATATAACCTTTATTTTTACGATATTCTTCAATATAAGTATGTTTTGAGGGATATAATTTAAATGGTCCTGTATTATCAGTTAATGATGATAAAGATTTTAGAGAAAAAACATGAGAATTTTTAATATTACGAAATTTTTTTATTGGTTGTGATAAATCATTATCATCAGTGATGAGACGATTTATTGATATATCTGGCCATGGACCAATACGATTAATTGTTGGATAATATATATGAGAATTCAATGATAATGAACGACGACGTGGTACATTATGATGATCAACGAATGATGATGAGGAGGAGGAGGAGGAGGATGATGCTGTTGATGATAATGCTACAGAATGAATTTGTTGAAATCCATGATGAATACGAGGTGTTTGTAATGTTTGTGGACCGAGAAATGATGGACGTTGATTACTACAACGTAATAAATCACGTTTAAGTATTTTTTGACTTTTCAATGGTATATTTGGTTTTAAACATGATGTAGAAGAATCGAAAGGTACAGTTTCTATGCTTAAATCACATTGATTAGGTGTTTTAGTTCTAACATAATCGATTGGTGTCGATAAACGTTTGATTTGTGTTTGATATGAATGATGATGAGATTGTTTATTAGAAATTGATCGTTTTGAAAATTTGTTCTTCATTCAATAGACATATAAAAACCAAAAAGTAAGCACTTCAACGAGAACTTCTAGTCTGTTAACTGTCAAAATATAAATGAGCAAGAGAGAAAAAGAGAAAGAGAGAGAGAGAGAGAGAGAGAGAGAAAATGGTTGTCGTTGTTGCTTATACTAACAATACTTTTACTCGTTTTACTGATGTTGTTGTTCTTGTTGAATCAGTTAAAACGAAATAGTAGGAAAAAAAGAGAGAGAGAGAGAGAAGGGAAGGAACAGAGAGTAAAGCCGATTACATGAAACAATTTTACAAAAAGCACGCAAACGAGACTTTGCACTGTTGCTAGCTGTTGAACGTAAAAAAAAAATGTTAATATGTTTCTCAGTTTTTATTTTGAACTCATTAACTTAATTTATCATGTTTCACGAGGCACCGGTGAAAATTTTTTTTTTTTTTACATATAAATACTTAATTAGAAAGATAAGTTAAAATAAAATGCCCTTTAAAATGAATTTTTTATTTTTTATTGTTCAATAATCATCATTGTCTGACATCTTTTATATACTATGAGTAGTAAGTAAAGAGGTTGTTGCTCATGTTTGTTGAAATAAAATGATTGAAAATGGCGATTGATGTTTTTTTCTTTTTTATTTTTTGAAAAAGTTCAAATATATATATCAGAAAAAAGTCTTTTATTATTACTTTATTATTTGAAGTTAATTAATTTTCTTCTAGATTGAACCATGCCGAAAAAAGGCAAAGGCAAAGGAAAGAAAGGCGGTAAAGGAAAGAAAGGGTAAGCTTAGTTCTTTTTCTTTTGTTTTTTCTTTTTTAAATTAATTATTAAACAATAGAAGAATTTTATTTATTTTTTTTTGTTTTATCAAGAAAAAAGAAAAAAGATGATTCGCCATTGAAAATGGATGCTCGCAATACAGCCTTATGGGAAGTTCGACTTAATATGATAGATGGATCGCGTAAACAATACCGGTTAGAAAAATATGATTTTGATTAGAATATATAAACATATTGAGTGATTTTATATTTGTTAATATAGAGGCATTGCGGGTAATTTAGCCAATGAAAATGAAACATTACGCGATCAACTACGTCAAACAGAAAAAGATACTATTGATGTAGTAACGTTGCTGAAAAAACAAGATCTCGATAAAGATTCGGAGGTAAACTATTGTTATTATGTTGATAAACAAAAAAAAATCTATTTATAACAAAAATAATAATAATAGATCGAACATTTACAACAAGAAATAAAAGATCTTGAAATAGAACAAGCTAAAGATAAACAAGATTTAGTATGTATTTTTAAATACATATATTCAGTAAATTTTTTAATTATTCTATTTAAGTTAGATGATTTTGACCGACAAAAACATCATTTAAATGAAAAATTAACTCGAAAAGAAAATGAATTAGATATTGTTCGACATGAACTTAATCAAGTTAAAGAATTTCGAAAGAAAAAAGGTCAAATGCAAAAAGAACTTGAAGAAGTAAAATTTAAATGATTTTTATTTTTAAATTCACTTCTTATTTTATTTTATTTTTTTAATTATCTAGATTAAAGATGCTATGTTATGGAATGTACGTGAACAAAAAGAAACATTAGAAAAATTAGAACAAAAATTTTCCGATGAAAAAATGCGTTTACAACAAGAATCTAATAAAAGAATTGAAGAAATAGCAGAACATGCACAAAATGAAGCATTAAAGTAGAAAATACAAAAAAAAAAAAACAAATCAAATAGAAATTTATTTTTTACATATTATTATTTTTAGAACTTTAGATGAGAAAGCTCGTAATATTTATAAAGAAAATGTTGATCTTATTGAATCTTTACGTATTTATAAACGAGAATTAGATGCTCTACAAAAATTAAAAGAACAATTAAGAAAACAAGCAACAACAATTTTAAGTGATAAAGAAATGAATGATTCATTAATAAAAGAAAAAATTGAAGAAGTACAAAAAAATAATAAATTAATTAAAGAAGTAAAAATAAATAATAATCTTCATTTAAAACAAATAATAATAAATTTCGTTTTTTTTTTTTTGTAAAGTTAAAAGAAAAAGTTCAATATTTAGAAATATCATTAACAAAATTTATTGAAGAATTTGATATTGAAAGAAAAAAACTTCTTGAACAATCTCAAATTGAACATGAATCATCACAAAATGAAATAATAAAATTACAACGTGCCTTAGAATTAAAAGGAAAAGAAATGAATAAAGTTAAAAAATTAGGTAAAACAATACTTGAACAACGTTCTGAAATAGAAACATTATTTTTGGATGCATTACAAAATGTTAAACGACATATTATTTATAATCGTTTACAATATCATAAAGATGCATTTAATTCTTATCAAAATCGAATGTTAAATATTCATCATGGACAAGGTGATCATACAAGAATGAAAACATTTAATGAAACATTTCATGAAATTAATACAAGTAATGTTTTTCATGATTTGGAAGAAACAACAAAATGGTAAAATTTTAAAAATATTTTTTAAAGATAGAATACATTGAATTTTTTCAATCCGAAGTTTTACCGAGTTTACATTTCGGGATTGATGAGAGAATTTCCACAGGTATCAAATCACTTTTTTCATTTGATGAGTACTAGAACAGTCTAGAATGGTTTGATTTTCTGGGCCTTTCGTTCTTGAGATACCGAAATTTTATTGAGTTTTTCTTCTCTCTCAAATCACATGGAAAATCGACTTTCAACTTCAAACAAAATTAATCACATTGAGAACTTTGTTTGAAGCCGAAAGTCGGTTTTCCACGTGATTTGAGAGAGAAGAAAAACTCAGTAAAATTTCAATATCTCGAGAACCGAATGCCCAGAAAATCAAACCATTCTAGACTGTTCTAGTACTCATCAAATGAATATGATCTCGATCGAAAAGTGATTTAATACTTGGAGAGGTTTTCTCTTGAGTAGCATTTTGTTTTTCTAGAAAGATAGGAGTGACAATATTTTTTCGGAGGAGTAATTACTTATCAGAAATATAAAGTGTTCTTTTCCATGAACTTTATTTTTTGAGGAGTTAAGTCGACCTAAACTATAGCAAAAAATCACTGTAAGCTACTGTTTCGAAAAGACTTATATTTAATTGAGCAATAATGAAATTTAGCAATTACAAAAAAAAATAAAATGAGCAGTAATGAAATTTAGCAATAATTATATAAAATGAGCAATAATTATACTGAATGAGCAATAATTTATTTAAATTAAAGGTAAATTTTATATAAAAAGGGTATTATGGTGTTACTCGCTTATATATCTTTTTTTCTTCCTTCTTTTCTACGATGTCGTACAGATGACAAGTACGACACATATAAGTTGAAGTTGACTTTAAAATATTTCAAGATCAACTAATTGTCTTTTAAATTCAACTAGTCATCTTTAAAACAGGACCGAATTTTAAAATCAATTTCCATATTTCCATATATCTTTTGTTTTCTTTCTCTCTTCTTTCCTTTTCTTCACTTGAATATTTTTCTTCTCTTGATGTTGTTCATGTATATTTCCTTCTTCGTCATGTTTTCTTTCTAGGATGTTCAGTTTTTTTCCTATCTCATTCATCTATATAATTACCATTTCTCCAATAAAGTAGTAGTTCCGTATTGATGTGTTAGATCAATCATCCGTTAACAAAGGGCAATATGAATTTATGTATATATACAAATACGTATTTATTCAATTTTACAAAATAAAATATAAAAAGAAAAGGAGGCAGACTATCTAAAGCAAAAACAAAGTTTTATTCACACAATAGTATACTGTTTTTAATTTTTTTCAATTGTAAATAACTTTTTTATTTCTCTAATTCATATAAAATAATATAGTTTTTCTTTGTTTTATTGATAAAATATGAAATTATTACTGCTACTCAATGAATTAATTATTGTACATTTAATAATATAAAATTACGCAAATAAAGTTTTTGTTTTGCTCAAATAAATACTAGTCTTTCGAAAATTCTAAATTTTATGTTAGTTTGGTTTTAACATTAAATGAGTCTTAATTGACTATGCACAATCAAACAATTAATATAAACCGAAGTCCTAGTCACATCTAACGCATTGAATATTGCAATACCACAATTCTGTAACTGTATGAAATTCAACTATTTTTCAAAATTCATCTTATTTTCAATTGTATGTTGATCATGTTTCAGTTACTTGTCTTATTGATTGCGCTTTCATCCCATAAATATATGAGAAAATAACTAAATATAATGCAGATTATTGAAAACAAGATATTTATTACTACGTCTTTAAAATTGTATTCCCTGAGAATCTTGATCAATTTTTAACAAGTTGAATTTCGTATAGCCACTGTAATAATAGTGTTGAAATATTCAAAGTATTAAATGTATTTAGAACTTCTTTTTATGTTGATTATGTCGATGTATAAAGTCAATTAAAGTATATTCAATATTGAAGTTCTCAGTGCTGAGAACTAAACTAACATAAAAATTAAAATTTATGCAATAACAATCATTTTTCTGAAGTTGATTGAAAATAGAGACTCACATTTGAAGATCTTCTCTTGTTAGTTCTTTAAGCAATAACTATGAATTCAATCTTCGTAGAAATATTGTCCTATAGATGAGGTATACATCGAACCCAAATCGATTGAGTTTGGTTTTGAATGCAGTCATTTGCAATTAAAGAATCAAATGGAGGTCAAATCAGAGTTCAGGTTTGGTGATTGTCCATTTTTGACTTGAAACGTTTGAAAAAAGTACTGAAACTGAGCTTCAAATTGAAAAATATGGAACTCAATAAGCTGTTCTGTTCAAAAGTGATAATAATAACAAAATCAATTTACATTATTCTTCTATTGATAAAACTTCATCAATTGGTGTTCCGATCTCTGATTGATGAGAGATCAACTATTTATCGTTTCCCATCAGAACTGTAATACATTACAATCAATATCTTTTTCTCAGCAAGAAACATATTGACAGAAGATATAAACTCACCAATGAA